TGAAAAGGAGTGAATGAAGTGTCCCAATTGTGGGAGGTGAGTTAGGGATGAATTGATCTCCTTTATCCAACTATTTCAATGTATCAAACACTGTACAGGGTCCTGAGTAAATATGCAATTAAAATAATGATCCCCTGTAACTGGGATGAAGATATGTACAAATAGGCACCTCTCTAAGTAACTTATTACAGCATTCTTCCATAAACCACATCAGCCTTGTGCTTGTAATTGGCATTGTAAGCAAATCTGATGGTTTGTGATTCACCAGTTCAATAAAGTCATCTGTGGAAGGAGAGACAGTGTTACTGTTTCAGGTCTGTGACCTTTCATCAGACCGAAACATTCACTGTGCTTCTCCTCAGATACTGCCTGACCTGCTGAACACATCCAGAATTTTCTCTCCTGCTCCATAACATCAAATTGCCTCTTCATAGGCAGACTGAATGAAATACTCCAATAAACAGCAGGTGAGGTGGATGAGTTTGATGGCTGGAAGTGGTCACTTGGAATTCCAATATGATGGGAGTGCTGACGTTACCAGGACACCAGTCTGGGTGAATGGTACCTCTCACTTGCACAAGGAGCAGGTTCAGTCATGGTAAAGGACAGACTATAGATACACCTGTTCCCAAAGCTCGAAGACATGGCAAAGACCATGAGCTGCAGTCTGCAACACTGAGGTGATGAGATGAAACAACTTACCCTTACTCTGAAGGTGTAGCCCAGGAGGGTCCAACACATTGTTATCTAAACTGGCATTGCACAAAATTACAAGCAGTTATTAAAAACAGAAGTATAATTTAAACAAACTATTAAAACATAATTCCTTCACACACTCAACTGTTGACTATTTTATTATATTTACAGTGATTTTCCATCCCTTAATAGGATGAAATCCATCTCCAAAAACCTATAGGGATTTATTAACTGTGGGAACTCAACACTTTTCCAGTCAGCAGCGGGAATGGGATGCTTGACCAGATTTAGCCACTGAGCCAGAATGAGAAGTGAATTTTAAATCCAGGGTAATGTTACCTCTGAACTGGGACCAATCACTCTCAGTAGAGGTGGCTGTGAATAAAACATATCATCGCCGTTCTGACATTGCTCTCGGAATCCGACTATGGGACAGAGCTCCCTGCTTCATTTAATTCCATACTCCTGCCCTTGCAATCTTTGAGAGGAGATTGGCAGTTTATTCAAAAGTGTTGAGTCAAGACTGCTGTGAATTTAAACAGGACTGAAGTTTAGCAGACTAATTTCACTGTGGCTTTGCTAAGAATATCATCCCGATTCAAGTCTAGACGTGAATTTGTCATTCTCAATTTCATCCTATCCCTATTAAAACAGCCTCTTATTGCTCTCAAATAGGGCCATTGTCCTACATCCCTCTCCCTTCAGCTTGTTTAACAGGCTGTTGTCTATTCTGTCCCTCAGTCTCAGGGAGTACAATAATAGGGACGAATCTGGCAGGGAAATGTGAGGTGGAGTGAAAGCTGATGGAGAAGGAGAAGCATTTCATATGAAGACAGCACAGAGCACTGTCAGAGTCTGACCCAGATTGATACAGCTCGACACAAGAGTGACACACAAGTGAAATGATCCAACATGACCGATAGGATCTGACATGAGAGCATCAAGCCAAAACATGGCAACAACGCATTCTAACACAGGAGGAAAATGAGGGCAATATGAAATGAAAATGGTTTGACATGGGACCAACAATGACAGAGATGGCACATGGGGACAACATGTTAGTGGCACTGACTGATACGAGAGCAAACCAGTCAGACATATTCAACATATTGATGGACACAAGGAATGAAATGTAGCTCAACACGAGAAGGGAAGGTGGAACACTCTCTGCTTATGCAGATATACTGGTGCTTTCGAGCGGGCATTGTAACCACTGGTCTTTGCAGAACTTTACAAGATGTTACACACAGCTTATCAAAGTGCTGACAGACACATTTAGTAGATTTGTATTGAGCCAGCAACAGACGGAGAGTGCTGAGAGGAGCAGAACTGCATCACCGCCCCATTTCCCCAGCTAGCTCCTGTCCTCTTCGTCTGCTGTGGTTGTCACTATTTCTCTGTGAGACGGTTCTCCTGATTCCTTGCCACTCATTAACCGGGTAGCTTCGGCTGATTCCGATACAACCTCTACGTTATCTTTACTCATCAGCTGAATCCACTCATCTGATCTCTGTATGTCGGCTTTCAGGCCAGACTCGTCCACCAAGTCTCTCCCATTCCCATTCTTCATGATGGCTGCATTATCGTCCTGGGGCCTCGTGATAGCCAGACTTTTCTTCCGTCCACACAACCTGACAATACATATGTAGGGTCACAGAATGTTGCTTATTAAAAGAAATTTTAATCACACAATTATTATAACAAATTCGTAAATTAATAGTAAAAGACCACAATTAATAGTGAACAAAGATAAGTCATTCCACCAATAGGCACCGAGAGCCCAAACAGAGCACCCAGAGTGTTCAGAAAAGGAGACAGCGAGAGAGAGAGAGACAGATAAATAATTCCACCAAGGCTCGTATCCAGCACCAAGTCACCCTTTATTTACATGTGCATAGGACATGACACTGACCCAGCTAGCTTAGAGCCAACTCCTAGATTGAACAGGACTCCTGTAACTCCTTTTTATATCTGTCAGCCAGGGCTCCCTGATTGGACCAGGTTAACAGCTCCAATTGGGGAACTCATTTTCTATACAGTCCACCTGGCTGACATTGTTCAAGGGAGGGCCCAGGCAGAGTGCTCTGAGAAAGAGGGGGTGGGGTAAACAGAGGGAGAGAGATAGAGGGCCAAGACTGAGTGTTCAGAGACAGCACACAAACAGAACATCTGGACAGAGTATCTGATGTGATTTTTGCCTCAAGCAAGGTCTGTTCCCTAAAATGGCAATGGTTATGTCCCGTATTGTAGGAAATGAAAAGTGGATCATGTGGTTGAAGAATCCAACAGACATTGATTATAACTAGTTATTATATAAAATCATCGGTTCACAGGCACAGCAGTTGCCTGGGTTAACATTGACCTATGAAGTTACAAACAGCTGCATATTTACTGTAGTATCTCATGTTTCAGGGCTTCTACACAGAGCATGTAGTTAGAGGGGCCGTGGACAGAGTGCCAAGACAGATTGTCCATTGTTTCCAGACGGAGTGCCCGGACAGAATGTCTAGACAGAGATTCTGGACACAGTACCCAGACAGAATTACTGGAAGGAGTGCCCAGATAGGGTGTCCAGACCAAGCATCATTACCTCAGAGAAGTGTAAGCATAGCAATAAAATTGTTTAGCTGAATTGAAGCAAAGAAATTCTTGCATTTTCTCTGATCGGATCATGGAGGGTTGTTTCACTGTGGGGTAGCATTGTCCATTTCTCGTCTGGGAGCTGCCTAGTTGACAGTGCCTCTGTGTAAGTATTGCAATGTTACCCCCCACTTATGCCACAGCAGGATCAGGGGAAGTGTTTGACAGGGCCTTCCAGTTTACTGAGCATTGCTCCAGACCTGATAAGTCAATGCAAATTCTCAAGGTTCCAATAGCCACGAGCCAGCAGTATTGCAGATGTGCTTCTCCCAGGTCAGCATGCCTATTAGATTGACAAGGGAACCATGGTTCCCTGACTCCATCTCATCATCTTCCTGCACAGTGCTCCCTGTCCATCCACCCAGCTCCAGGAGGTGCCAGTGTGCGTGGCACTCTGTGTCTTGTTGCTCCCTTGATGGGCTTGCCCCAGTCACCTCAGGGAGGGCAGCCCCAGTGTTTGGTTTTACAGAGTCCTTGCTGACTCACCTTTTACTGTATGCGGTCAGCAGTCCGCCAAATATAATGATGAGAAGCGACCCAATAATTGCCACCACGATCAGCCAATCTGAAATAAACAGAGAAGAAAATCCATAGATTAGCAACTGGACCTGAAAAACAACTCTTCATCTCAAACTCTTAGATCAGTAGCAAGCCACTCAGTTGTTTCAACTGCTACAAAATGTAACAAAAGCAATGAAGCTGTAGAAACCATTGACACTGACCTAGGCACTGTAAGTGACAATGATAAAAATCTGGATATGAAATAGTTGATATTTCATTACTTCAGAAGTCTCTTAGTCCACATTATCTGACTGTATGTAACTCTAAATTCCTGCACTGTAGTGCTATAATTTCTCGATTTGAATTATGCAAATCTTGGAGCAAAAAATAAACTTTGGAATATTCACTGTGCACAGACAGAAATCCTCAATTTGGCATCAATTTCTGTTGGCACCTTGTAGACAGGGGCAGTGTGAGTGAACTCAGTCAATACTGACTGGATATTCCAACATAATAACAACTGAATGGCCTCAAGAATGTTTGTGCATTTGAAGGGGTTTGGCATCATAAATGTACCAGAAAGGAGAAAGTGTTTTTAAGAAGGTGTCAGGTCACTTACCCAAATTGGTTTCAGGAGGTTTGTCTCCAACAGAAGGTGGTGTTTGTAACTTTAAACCAAAGCCATCGTCCAGAATAACGTGATCTGACATGGTGCTGTTTGGCTTAGCTTGGGAGAACAGAAAGAAAGACCCATAAATCTGAGGTTTCATTCAGACCTAGGGCTCATGGTTTACGCAGAAAGTGCCTACCCCAATCTCCAAGGCTACAATCAAGCTACATCCAGTATGCATCAGAAGGGCCAGCTGCTGAGAATGAGGCCTAACCTTATAGACCTCCAGTGGCATTCAGACATTAGGCGTTGTGTAAAGTTTTACACATTATTTGTCAATAGCATAAATTTCTTAAATACATATCAACTACACCTCGATTCTACTTTGCCTTTTCTTTTAAATCCATTAATTTGCTGGTTTTGCCCTTGCACACCCTTCCCTCAGCCAGGAGTGCAGGTCGATGTGGTCTGTACTGTACTCCATAGCAACCCATCAATACTGCTCCATAGAAACCCATCAATACTGCTCCATAGCAACCCTCAGTACTGCTCCATAGCAACCATCAACATTACTCCATAGCAACTCTCAGTAGTGCTCCATAGCAACCATCAATACTGCTCCGTAGCAATCTATCAATACTGCTCCAATAACAACCTATCAATAGTGTTCCACAGAAATGATCAATACTACTCCATAACTACCCTCAGCACTGCTCCATAGCAACCCTCAGTATTGCTCCATAGCAACCCATCAATACTGCTCTATATATGACCTACAGGAGAGGCTAGAAAAACTCGAGTTGTTTTCTTGTGAGCGGCAGAGGCTAAGGGGATACTTGATAGAAGTTTATAAAATTATGGGATGTATCGATAGGGTTGATGGTCAGAATCTTTCTTCCAGAGTTGAAATGTCTAATACTCGGGGCATACATTTCAGGTGAGAGGGGGAAAATTCAAAGGAGATGTGGGGGTAAGTTTTTTACACAGAGAGTGGTAGGAGCCTGGAACACACTGCCAGGGATGGTGGTGGAGGCAGATATGATAAGGGCATTTAAGGGACTTTTAGGTAAGTCCATGAATATGCAAGGAATAGAGGGATATGGACCAAGGGCAGGCAGAAGGGCTTAGTTTCATTTGGCGTCATGTTCGGCACAACATTGTGGGCCGAAAGGCCCACTCTAGTGCTGTACTGTTCTCCAGTTCTGTACTGTTCTGTAATCCTATGTTTTATAGCAACCCATCTATACTGGTCCATAACAACCCATCTATACTGCTCCATATGAACCTATCTATACTGCTCCATAGCAACCCTCAATACTGCATTCTTTGGAAATGAGGCCAATGTCCAGCCTCCTCGAGCTACTGCTATGTAATATTTTATTTGGCACAACAAAATGTCAGCAAAGTAGGTCCTTTTGAGAGCTATGGAGTTTAAAGACACATAACTCAATGAGGTAGTCAGACTCAAAGCACCCTTTTCCAAGCCATTAGAGGGAGCTTTGGGCTTCAGTGCAGAGAGCGAGACTGGAGTTAAGCAAAGCTGCTCACTGTTTGTCCTTCTGCATGGTCCAGAACTCTATTAAGAGAGGGTGGTAGCTAGGCTGCTTGCTTGAATGTGACATGCATGCCAACCATCTGCATTTGATGCACACACTCATGCATGTCTGCATTTCCAAACAGAAATCAGAATGAGCTAAAAGCCTTCATTCTCCCATCCCCACGCTATGGGGCTGCTGTAAGTGTTTGGAAAATGAAACATGCCATTGGAACAATGTGAGGAAAGGATCAGTATTAATCAAAGGGGAATATCAGCATTAACAGCATGTCATGCAAAATATAAAATCAGAGAATTTGTTAAGAATCAGAACCATTATGTTATACAAGTTTAATTTTCACATCGACAAAGGGGGAGCAGAACAGGTCAAATTGCAATTGCAGCAAATCTCTCGAGTGTATTGGACAGTTTTTTGAAACATTATTTTCTTGATTCAACAAGAAAGCGGATCATTCTAAATGTATTGTTGAGTAATCAAGTTGGCTTCAGTCAACATTCTAACAGTTTGGAAAACATCGAGCTAACAATGAGACTATGTGATTGAAATTGATATTAGGTTTGAGGTAGTGAAGGTTGAGTCATGAACCCTGATTTCAAATTCTACACAAGGCTGACCATTTGGACAGTCAAAGGCTTTTCAAATCATGCAATACAGAACTTGTTCACAACAGCAGCAGGCTGAGTGCATACTTGGCAACTACGGTCTGAGTAAAAAAGATGCATTAAACTCAACAACAACGTGGCCAGAAAGGGAGGACAGTGTGTACATGTTGGAAATTTGGTGACAAGGTAAACTTGGGGGGGGGGAGGGGCAAGGAGGTGTTGCCAATAATAGTTTGTGTCGAGATATCCTAGTTAGAATTTTACCTGATGTTTTATTATTTAGTGCAAGTTAGAGTAAAGACAAGAATGTGAACGTAATCATAAACATAAATAACAGGGCTCTGCTGCTTAAGGGGGTAATGACTGATCATTAATAGGCTTGGTTTGTTTTGGTTTAATAGGCCAACATAACAATTAAAGAGATAGTGGGAAGGAGTGAGGCCTTTCAATTAGTGGCAAGAATTGACTCCTGGTTCACAGCCTAACTACTCCCACCTCAGATGTCCCACAGTATTGGGCACAGAGTTACCTTCACAACGCCAACTGACTGGCATTCCCACTGGTCAGCCACCAATTTCCAGCAGATCCCAGACTGAGCTGCAGGCACAGGAGACAATGCACCCTCCTTGCCCCACTTCCCTGACTCCAACATAAAACAAGGGGCTTCCAAACTCCCCCGGTTTAGGAATTATTTCAGAATATTGTAAAAATCCTCCACGATTTAAGGAAGACAGGAGAGGTGAACGAGGAAATTTGAAGGTTAATAATCTGATGTCAGTTGTGGGAAAGTTACTGGAAGCTATAATTCAGACAAAATGATTATGTGTTTGAAGAAACACGTGCTGACCAGAGGGAGTCAGTACAGATTTGTAACAGTTAAATTATGTCCAGTGAACTTACTTGATTTTTTTCATGGAGAGATCCAATGTTAAAAAAAAGATTTATGGATAATATGGACTTTCCATATTAGAGCATTCAGGGAATAATCAGCCATATAAGGGATCATTAACGAAAATGAGAGTGCAGTGAATTGAAAGCAACTGATTAATGTGGATAGAAAATTGGTCAGCACACACACACTGTCAGAATGTGACTGATGGTATCCTGAGGGATCTGACCAACAGACTGACAGTTTCATTATGTTCACAAGTAGTTTGGACAGAGGAACAGTGAGTGAAGAACAATGTTTGTTAATGATATTGAGTTAGGTGGCACAACACATTATGCTGTTGTGAACAGCAAGTTGCAAACATATTGACAGGGTGGGTCAGTGAGACAATTGGCAGGTGGAAAATGTAGTAAAGTGTAAGATCATCTATTCCACTTCGTCCCGTCTTGGTCAGAATCCCAACCTCTGATGCAGAACATACATCTACAAACATCCGCTCCCTCCACCACTAACACTCAGTAGCAGCAGTGTGTACTATCTACAAGATGCACTGCAGAAATTCACCAAAGTTCCTCAGACAGCACCTTCCAAACCCTCAACCACTTCCATCTAGAAGGACAATGGCAGCAGGTACATTGGAAAACCGCCACTTGCAAGTTCCCCTCTAAGCCACTCACCATCCTGACTTGGAAATACATCACCGTTCCTTCAGTGTCACTGGGTCAAAATCTTGGAATTCCCTCCCTAACAGCATTGTCTACCTACAACACATAGGCTGCAGCGGTTTAAGAAGGCAGCTCACCACCACCGTCTCAAGGGTAACTAGGGAAGGGTAATAAATGCTGGCCAGTCAGCAACACCCACAACGCAGGATGGAATTGAAAAGATCACGGAATGACACCAGGGCTAAAGAAGAGTTAAATGATGAGAATAGGCTGCATAGAGTAAGCTTGTTTCGCTAGAATTGCAGATTAAGGGGGTGATCTAATTGGATCCTTCAGAACAATCAATTAAGTTGCAGGTTAGATAAAAGAAAACTATTTCCTCTGAATTGGACAGTCCAGAAAAATACTTCAACCAATCTGAGGCTTGGGGTTAATTGAAAGTGTTTTTTTTGTTAGACAGGGAAGTAGGGTTAAGATACAGATCCTTTTTTGGTCAAAATGAAAGAAGAGCAGGCTCAAGGGGCTGAATGGCCTACACGTGTCTCACTAACTTAATTGAGTTTTTTGAAGAAGTAACAAAGAAAACTGATGCAGGCAGAGCGATGGATGTGATCTATACAGACTTCAGTAAGGCGTTCAACAAGGTTCCTCACGCTAGACTGGTTAGCAAGGTTAGATCACACGGAATACAGGGAGAACTAGCTATTTGGATACAGAACTGGCTCGAAGGGAGAAGACAGAGAGTGATGGTGGGGGGTTGCTTTTCAGACTGGAGGCCTGTGACCAGTGGTGTGCCACAAAGTTCAATGCTGGGTCAGCTGCTTTTAATCATTTATCTAAATGATTTGGATGTGAATGTAGGAGGTATGGTTAGTAAGTTTGCAGATGACACCAAAATTGGAGGTGTAGTGGACAGCGGAAGAAGATTACCTCAGAGTACAACGGGATCTTGATCAGATGGGCCAATGGGCTGAGGAATGGCAGATGAAGTTTAATTTAGATAAATGTGAGGTGCTGCATTTTGGAAAGGCACATCAGGACAGGATTTATACACTTAGTGGTAAGATCCTGGGAGTGTTGTTGAACAAAGAGCCCTTGGAGTGCAGGTTCATTGTTCCTTGAAAGTGGAGTCCCAGTTCAACAGGATAGTGAAGGAGACATTTGTTATGCTTACCTTAATTGGTCAGTGCATTGAGTATAGGAGTTGGGAGGTCATGTTGCAGCTGTACAGGACACTGGTTAAGCCACTATTGGAATACTACATTCAGTTCTGGTCTCCCTGCTATAGAAAGGATGTTGTGAAACTTGAAGGGGTTCAGAAAAGATTTACAAGGATGCTGCCAAGGTTGAAGGATTTGAGCTATAGGGAGAGGCTGATTAGATTGGGGCTATTTTCCTTGGAGCATTGGAGACTGAGGGGTGACCTTATAGAGGTTTATAATAGTGTGGAAAAGGTGAATAGATAAGGTCTGTTTCCCCCAGGTGGGGGAGTCTAAAATTAGAGGGTATAGGTTTAAGGTGAGAGGGGCAAGATTTAAAAGGGACCGAAGGGATAACTTTTTCACACAGAGGGTGGTCTGTGTCTGGAATGAGCTGCCAGAGGAGATCTTGGAGGCTGGTATAGTTATAACATTTAAAAGGCAACTGGATAGGTATATGAATAGGGAGAGTTTAGAGGGATATGGGCCAAATGCTGGCAAATGGGACGACAATTATTTAGGTTATCTGGTCAGCATGGACAAGTTGGACTAAAGGGTCCGTTTCCATGCTGTACGTCTCTAAGACTTCATGACATGCTCTAGCCTTGCTGTAAGGGAGACTTGAAGAAGCAAAGTGTTGGTCTTCACCCAGAGGAGGAATGAGGAGGAGACTGTCAAGGGGAGCTGTTGGCACTGGAAAAAATTACAGCAATGAACAGTTTCAGGATGAAGTAATTGGAGGCTTTACTGAAAAGGCACCATTGCTTATTGAAAAGTAGATTGCAGCACATGAGATGATTAACTATTTGAAAAACATAACTCTACAGATAGAACAAGACTCCTGCAATGCCAGTACCATGGTATCAAGAGACTAATAACTATAACTGAGAGGCACTGATATGCAGCTTGTACAGGGACACATACAAAACTGGTGCAAAAAGCCAATTGAAATACTAAAAATACAGTAACTCAAACCTACCGTACTGTACTATACCTTTTGTGATTGAATTGGTCATTGTGTGAGATGGGGCAGTCTGTCCAAAGTCATGGGTTCTGGTGGTATGTGGCAGCTTTAACTGACCTGTGCTCTCTTTGGAGGAAGGAGGGGCTAGTTCCATTTCTCGCTTCTCGTTATTATTGATCGGGGCATTAGTCAAGGTCATTTCCAATGATTGAAGAAAAGGGGAGGTCGGGCGGTCTGGTTTGGTGGAAGAGGATGTGGTCGCTGTAGGCAAATAGTCAGAGGGGCTTACAGACGGAGTCGGTTTGACCTGAATATCCTGAGAAACATTTCCCAAGGCTGCGGGATGGCGTTCCCGTTTGGAATCTGGACTAGCTGGTTGGCCAGTGGATAGCCTTGCAATACCAGTTGTCACTGTAAAGTTGAGAGAAAACCTGAGAGCAGGTGGTGGTGCGTCTGACCTCTGTATCACTGGAGGGCTGCCACTTTTTGTAAATAGGACAGCTGGGTCTACAGATGCTGGAAGAGAGAACCTTCGATGACCACCCAAAACTGTGCTGTTCTCTCTGATGGTTTTTATAGGCTCTGAAGTCAGCACTTCCAAAGCACTTCCATTCTCCCTTGGATCAGAAGGCAGTGCAGTAGAAGGAATCAATTTGGCATTAAATGCAGCGACCGTCATTCGATCCAAGTGCACCTTGACAGATTCTGAGCTCACTATTTCAGAGGCGCTCCCAGTTTCCGCAGGCAGGTAAGTTAGAGATGGTGAGGCAGTGAATGGCTCCTCTGCGTCTGCTCTGTTGTTCACCATGAGCTCAGAACGAGACATTCTGGTGCCAGGCATAGTTTCCTTGGGTAGCTCGGTGGGATTTGGAGTCATTGGGATGGGCGCTGTCCCAGCCCTTTGTATTCCGAACATTGAGGGCTTTTGTGTGGTTTCAGAAGACTGTGTGGAAGTTACACCAACCATCTGCTCATGTCCATTTTCAGTATTCATTCGCAACACTGATAATTCTTCCAGAGTGGGCTGGAAATCTGATGCATCTTTGTGAACCTCGGTGTGGTTCATTGTTACATTAACTTCAAGGAGATTGTCTGAAATCAGTGCAGAAGAGGAAGAATGAGTGATGGTGTCTATTCCTGTCAATTCTGTCTCTGAATGATGTTGCAGTTTGTTTTCTGTAACTTGATTCTCTGTTTTTAATGATATTTGCCTATTTGACTCATCGTACAGTGTCATATCACCAACGTGCTCAGAGCCATTCACTGGCATACTGGCATTCTTTTGCAAACTTGGTGACATGGTTTCAGGGAGATTGTTGGTTATATATCCTGGTACAGTGGGTGACATGCCCAGCTCCACTGTGTAGTTGGCAGTCACACCGGTTACAGCTCGCGTTGCCTGCTTTTTTGCAGCTCCTGATTTTCTGGAAGGTGACACCGATGACTGGATGTGCGATCGTGATGAACTTTGGGGCAAAGACTCATCAGGCCTTGGCGTGAGGGTTAGCAATTCACTCTCTGCTGCCACGGTTCCTATAGTAACAACGTCATGGCTTTCTGCTGGCCGGGCCATTGGGTGTTCTACAGCTATTAAACATAAAAAAAAGGAAAGACAATCTTTAAGTTCCATTTCTCAGCGCATTGCTCACGTCCCCTTCACAGGAATAGGTGGAGGCCATTCAGCCCTCCAATGCATTCTGTCATGAACTCAGGTTATGGCTAATGTTTACATCAATGTCTTTAACTAGCTATTATCTCTCTGTCACCAAATCTATTGACCTCATGTTGCTGCAATACGTGTGGTTTTTGCAGTTTGAAATACATACTCATGTGTACATGAAGAAATGCTTCAGTCAGAGGAGGAAAGCAAAAAAGATTAACAATTTCCTAAATGTTTGAATGGAAAGCAGAGATGGCAGAAATTACTGATGCGTTATTTTTAAGATAGTAAAATGTAGGGTTTGCAGGGTAGATTGATCTTAGTAGGATAATAGGTCGGAACAACATTGTGGGCTGAAGGGCCTGTACTGTGCTGTACTGTTCTGTGTTATATGTTCTCTGTTCTATGTTATTAGTGTAAGCCAGTAGAGGTATCATGAGGGAGATGCTGGAAGGACTCAACAAAGCAACAGACTTTTCACATATCAGCGCAGTGACCCTTCATCGGAACGTTTGTGGTATACTGTAGTTCTAATTTCAGTCTTTGACTACCTACAGTAATTTTCATCTGAAAGAAACATAGAAAGATAGAAAATAGGATCAGGACTGAGCTATTCAGTCCTTCAAGCCTCCTCCATCATTTAATTTGATCACAGCTGATCATCCAATAGGTACCCTGTTCCCACTTTCTCCCTATACCCTTTGACCCCTTTAGTCCCAAGCCCTATATCTGAGTCTTCCTTGAAAACATTCAATGTTTTGGCCTCAGCTGCTTTCTGTGGCAGAGAATTTTATCGGCTCACCACTCTCTGGGTGAAGACATTTCTCCTCCTCTCAGTCCTAATTGGTCTACCCCTTATCCTTAAACTGTGACCCCTGGTTCTGGACTCCCCAGTTATCAGAACATCATCCCTACATTTATCCTGTCCAGTCTTGTTAGAATTTCCACGAAGTCACCTCCTCACTCATCTAAACTGCTGTGAACAGAGTCCTAACCAGCCCAGTCTTCATAGGTCAGTCGTGCCACCTCAGGAATCAGTCTGGTAAACCTTCTTGCACTTCCTCCATGGCTAGAACATCCCTTCCTCAGGTAAGGAGACCAGAACAGCACACAAAATTCCAGGTGTGGAAGCCATGTATAATTGAAGCAAGACCTCCCTGTCCCTATACTCCAATCCTCTCGCTATGAAGGCCAACATGCCATTTGCCTTCTTCACTGCCTGCTGCACCTGCATGCTCACTTTCAGTGACTGGTGCACAAGGACAACCAGGTCTTAGTGCATCTTCCTCTTTCCCAAAATATCACCCTAATTTAAAGCTGTACCAGATGAGACAGATAATATGGTGGTGTGGGTTCCATTAGCCCAGGGCCTTCTACCAGTTGTTATGAAGTCCATTTATTTAACTGGCAGTGATTCAAAAGCTGATGGCCACATTAATATTGGACATTACAAGAAACACAGTGAGTTGGATGAACTGCCTGAAAGTGGAGTAGAATTCATCTTCACACGCCCCAGAAGGGAATTTTTACAAATCTTTTGAAATGGGAAACCCATGGGATCCGATGGAATGGTGGCTTTCCATCCCATTCCATCCAATCTAATGAACCTCTTGGAGTGGCACAGTGGGCCACTGGCTAGCACTGCTGGGTTCAATCCCACCCTTGGGCAACTGTCATGTGGAGTCTGCACGTTCTCCCTGTGTCTGCGTGGGTTACATCTGGGCACTCCGGTTCCCTCTCACAGTCCAAAGATGTGCAAGTTAGGTGGATTGGCCATGCTAAATTGCCCATAGTATCCAAGAATGTATAGGCTCGATGGGTTTGTCATGGGAAATGTGGAGGAAACTCACACGGACACAGGGAGAATGTGCAAACTCCCCATGCATAAAGACATGAAAGGTTGATTGATAACCCAAAACAGTGCAGCCACAAAAGCCATTTGTTCACTGAAAGTTATGCATGGTAGTTAATTTGAAGCACATTTATACTTAGTAATCTTTGCATTAGAAGAAAAGCATTAAGAATAAGCAGCTGTTTGATTTTCACAGACCAGGCTATCAGTGAATTCCCTCTATAACTATTTCTCTGTTCCCTGCCACCCTGCTCTCCAGTCCTGCTCCCCAGCACAGGAAGAGAGGAATGGGGTTAGCTCCTTAGATAATGTCTAGGAGGAGGGGGTTTATCTGCTGGATCTCAGCCTCACTGGGGATAGAGGAGGCCACACAGATACTCAGGCTATCAAACCTGGGATCTTCCTACTCCATGAGTTCATATCTATACTATTCAAAGTAACGTCAGCCAGTCTGTCAATGCGACCTTATTTATTGAAGGGAACTATGTTTGATTCAGGACTCACATTTAAAGCCAATACAATTAACAATATTTCCTCCAAATATCACCTCAGAAGTACAATGTGGAAACAGGCCATTCGGCCCAGTAAGTCCACACTGCCCCATCTGAAGGGCATTGTACCCAGACCAGCACTCTAACCTAACCCTATAACTCTGCATTTCCCATGGTAATCGACATCATCTGCACATGCCTGGACACTATGGGCAATTTGGCACGGCCAACCCACTTAACCTGCACACCTTTGGATTGTGGGACCCTTTAGTTTTCTCATGTGAATGCACTGCCGGTTATTCTACGGGAACTGGGTAGAGGGGCTGTGGGCTGTTCAGACTTATAAGCCCAGCTACTGATGAAGTTTCCTTCTGTTCGACTCTGACCATGTTAATAGTCCACAGCCCCAATCATCATTCATTGGGATCAATAATGTTGGACCTGAGGGATATTGGGTCCACTGGTTGGGTTTCTGACCCTGAATGCCTATTACACTCACAGCAGCAACACAGTAAGTCCAGATTGAACATTGCAACAACATTGTGTTTCTACGGCATCATTCAGTGTAAAACATTCCAAGTCATTTCTCAGGACCAAACCAAACAGTGTTAGGAGATATTGGGGCAAATCAGCAACAGCTTAGACAAAGAGATAGATGTTGAAGAGCACCTGAAAAAGAGTACAAAGGCAGAGGGGTTCAGGGAGGGAATTCCAGAACTTCGGGCCTGGACAGCTGAAGACATAATTTCCAAAAGTGAAGCAATTAAAATTGGGAAAGCGCAAGATGTTGAGATAGTAATAACAAAGCCTTGTGAGGCTGGAGGAGGTGACAGCAATAGAGTGTGCTGAGGTCATGGAGGGATTTGAAAACAATTGTGGCCATTTCACACAAACCAGGACCCATCATGAACCTGTAGCAAACAAAAATGGCCATTGTGCATGCCCATGGAGTGAGCATTGGCTGTCTATAAGATCAATAATGTCCAATATACACACAGCACAAGCTGTGCTGGGAGTCTATCATGGCCATTACTGTTTCACACAACGTACATCAACGTGAGTCTGTATAAGGAACAGGTTAAGAGCAGTGCTTGGTATGTGGAAACAGAGTGGGTGTGGTAGTGACGTGCTGAAATTGATGAGAACAATTTTAATCGAAATGTAACAACAGACCATTAATCAAAAGCAGAGAGAGAATTGCTGCAGAACTGGAAGAGGACCCTTGATGATTAGCCAATGAAGACAACTTAGGAACATGTTAACCAATCAACAGTTAATAACCCAGCCAACTAACCAATCCTTATCCATAAAGTATGAGGTCTTTCACAATCTGTAACTCTGTGGGAAATCCTGCAAAGTCACCCCCAGGGAGCGTTAAGAAAAATTTCAAAGGGAAGAGTCCCAGTGAGCTAGACCAGAAGATCTCAACAAAGATCACTCCAAAATGACCTACAGAGATTGTCTGATTTAATAGAAACAGTTTTGTTTCAAATTCTTAAAAATTACTTTTCGTGTGGATTTAGTATGAGATCGTGTCAATTGCAATTCTCTGCCTCTGAATCTAAGAGAAGGGTAAAATCACCTAAACTATCATGACCATTAGTGTTCCCAACTTGGCTCTGCATCTTCGGGAAAATGACCTGGATGTTTTAGGAAAGTGCAGCCGATCGTTCAATCAAAAGCAGAATTCCAGCTTTCTACTGAGTTGTTGTCATTGTCGAAGGAAGTCCTGTGAAAACACAGTCTCAGTTACAAGTACAGAGAATCGAGAGGGAAACGGTGAACTGTGGAGGTACCTTTGGTAGTCTGTAAACTGCTGGGAATGTGTTTCCCTAGGGCGGAGAGAACCTGGCTGATCCCGGTCACGTTGAGCTCAGCAAGAGACAGGGTTGGTGATGAAATCTCAGGACTACAATTTTCATATTCTGAAGGTAAGAAAAGAAATGAATCAATTCAACAGATTTGAAAATTGCATACATCTGCACGCAACCACTGACACGTGTGAACACTGAAGTTCACATGCAAACACCAACACATGCACATACGTACACCCACATATACACACACACACAAACACGTACACATACACACATTTGCACATATACGTACATATTTGTACATGCACACACATTCACACTGATGCACACATAGACTGACAAAAGCACACCCACACAGACACACCCACACATTCAAACTGACACACCTAAACACATATACTCTGACACACTCACACACTCATACTGACACACATGAGTACACAGACACAAACACACACACACACACACACCCACACACTCAGACTGACACACCTAAACACACACACTGAGACTGATACACACACACTCACACTGACACACACGCACTCACATAGACACTCACAGATGCATCCACTGATACTGACACCTACACAAACACACACACACTGACACACGCACACAGACACACACACACACACACACACACACACACACACACACACACACACACACACACACACACACACACACACACACACCATCCAAGAAGGGCGAGCTGTTTAATTGACTGATGGTTCCTGCCAATATTGCTGAATCTAGTGAGGGCCAATGATTGATATAAACTCACCATCATGCAGAGCCAGACCCATCCTCCCTTTACCAAGTATGTGGCCAATCTGTCAGAGCTCCACACTGTCATCACAAAGCTCATTTCCTGCATCCCTCCAGCACTAGTTAGCTGTGCCAGTTGTTACTTTGTCAAGGTCCCCATGGAAAGGTGGGAGTCTCGCATCAGATCCCTTGGCAATGAAGGAATTGTCCAAAGGAATTATTTTAAGAGTCACTTACCTGTCGCATTGAAGCAGAACACGTCAAAAGTATTGCTGGATGGCTTTTGAATGGTGTAGACCCCTGTAGCGCTATTCGCACAATGGGGGAGAGCGAATACTCGAGGGATGGCAATCAAACCACCCTGAATCCATCCGTACCTGCAGAACAATGCACAGTACAACATCGAGCATCCACAGAGCTAAAAATCAGTCCTCAACATTCAGCTCAGTAAAACAGAAAGGAATGTGCATCAAGAGCCCGGTGGTTAAAAGCCAATGGGGAAATGGATTTGTCCCAAATGTGATGGAAATCTCCTGTCTATTGGCCACATGTGAATATATTTGGGGCAGGCTTAACCGCATTGTGATGGGCACATCCGTGAAACCAGAACCAGGCTGAAAACTCTGTCCCTCTGCCTTTCGTCCTCTGTTCTTTCACCAATCTTCCATGATTGGGTAAACGAACAGGAAAGGTTTGGAGGATATGGGCCAAATGCTGGTAAATGGGATTAGATTAATTTAGGATATGTGGTCGGCATGGATGAGTTGGACTGAAGGGTCTGTCTCCATGCTGTACATCTCTATGACTTTACTCCTGACGGGCAACAGGAGCTGCCAGCTGTTCTGGGTGCTGCCAGATTTTGAACCTCCCTTTTCACTCACTGGCATATTATGGAGGAACTCCACGCAGAGTCAGAGAGAGATAGAGAGGGATCAGCTAAAGAATTCCTCCTTTTTCACAGGGGAAAGTGGCCTCAATGGGTTTTGAAGAGGAGACAGCTTCTCGGTACAAATGGTCATTATAAAATGTGCATTGGGGAGACACCTTTTTTAAAGTGATCTTCACAATGGAAATGGGAGCACCCTCTTTAAACAGAATCCCGACTAGAGGGGCACTAAGGAAATGCAACTTCTTTCAAAACAACAATTCGGTTTGTCAAAAAGAACTTGACTGGGGCTGGGGCTGGTTGTGGGGTAGGAATCCCACTTTTTAGAGGGAGTGGGAGGGCGGGCCAAGACTTATTTAAAAGTGATTATCATGGCAAGGGGAGCTCCCTGTCTAAAATGATTCCCCTGAAAAATGTTAGTCTGCACTGATCTGCAATTTTTTAAAAATCACTCACGGGACATGGGTGTCACTGGCTGAGCCAGCATTTATTGTTCGTCCCTTGTTGCCCTTGAGAAGTTGGTGGTGAGCTGCCTTCTTGAATTGCTGCTGTTCACCTGCTGTGGGTTGACCCACAATGCCGTTAGGCAGGGAATTCCAGGATTTTGACCCAGCAACAGTGAAGGAACATCGATATATTTCCAAGTCAAGATGGTGAGTGGCTTGGAGGGAACTTGGAGGTGGTGGTGTTCCCATGTGTCTGCTGCCCTTGTCCTTCTAGATGGAAGTGGTCGAGGGTTTGGAAGGTGCTGTCTGAGGATATTTGGTGAATTTCTGCGGTGCATCTTGTAGATAGTACTCACTGCTGCTACACAACATTGGTGTTGGAGGGAGAGGATGCTTGTGGATGTGGTACCAATCAAACAGACTGCTTTGTCCTGGATGGTGTCAAGCTTCTTGAGTGTTGTTGGGGCTGCACCCATCCAGGCATATGGGAAGTATTCCATCACACTCCTGACTTGTGCCTTGTAGATGGGAGACAGGCTTTGGGGAGTTAGGAGGTGAGTTTCTCGCTGCAGATTTCTAAGTTTTTATCAAAGCCTTTGATGAAACAATCAGAAGTGCTGAAATTTCTTAGAGTTGGACAGGAGGTTACGGATGGGGGAGCGGAGTAGAAAATAAAACTTCTCAAACATTCTGCTGATTACCCCTTCCAAGTTAGGTGTACACTTGATGTACGTGTATGTGTGTGTATGTATGTTAGTGTGTGTGTGTGTGTGTGTGTGTATGAGTGTGCGCATGTCTGTGTGTGTATGTCTATGTATGTCTGTGTGTGTGTGCGTGTGTGTATATGTCTATGTGTGTGTGTGTGTGTATGTGTATGTGTATGTGTGTGTAAGTATGTGGGTGTATGCTTAGCGTCAGCTGATGAAACCTTCAGGATTGTGTTGTATCAGAGTTGGCAATCGAGACATGTGTCATTGGTCCAGTGCTTTTATAATGGAATGATAACCAGTTGGTGACAGTAACTTGTCCAGCCACCAGGGGGTAGACATACACTGCCTGTCGCCCTGACCTGAGCTAATTGACCCGCTTCTAGCAAAGATAGAGAGACAGAGAGATGAAGTCTCTGTCTGAAACATCCTTACCTGCAGGTTTCATAGCCAGTTCTCTGCGCCCTCTTCACCTGTTCCAGTGTTGCCAGGGTTGTCCCCAGACTCTGGCACAGATCGACTGCTGCCTGGAAGTCCAGTTGGTAGCGTCCTGAGCTAGACTCCTCCTGAAAGACTCCATGGTGCCTGCACTCTGAGTTCACATCTGAAAACGTATAATGGAGCTCTTACTACATCAGATCACTCACATTTTACACCTACAGTCACTAAACACAAAATGGTCTTGATATTCAGGCACTGATATTAGAATTGTTGCTACACTTGCTTTTACTGTTTATCATTATACAGCATTGTTATTGTACGTTCATGTGTAACCATATAGGTGATCAGATTATTTAGTTGCCTCTGCCCCCTGCGCAGAGGTTATAAATATTGACAACATCCCACTATAGGCTTTGACTGTCAGGACTAGACGTACCTCTAGCCAGGGCTTTCCGGGGCATCTATAAACCTGGCATATCTCTGACATGCTCAGGAAGGAGAGATCCCAGTGGGAGCGAGACACAGCCTGAGTGAGTGTATCATTTGGGCAATTTGGAGGCAATGTGGGAATTCTGTGCTTTCTTTTCTCTCATAGTTTGTGAAGTCTTTTTTTAAACAGGATAAATTGAAGTTCACGATCAGGGACCCAGCACAAAAGAGTGACATTACAGGTAATCTGCTAGTTCATTGGTTGATGGACTATCTCTAATTGGTTATTTTCAGATTGAGGGTAAACAGGGGAAATATTTACAGGCAGTAATTAAAATAGACGTGGAGGGCCAGGCGATGTGTTGTAACTGCATGATGTGGCAGCTGATGGAGCCCATTGTGGTTCATTGTCACCATGTCTGCAGCAAGCGTTGGTTGCTTGAGGATCTCCAGCTCAGAGTGGATGAGCTGGAGTCTGTGCTTCGAACACTGCAACAGGGAGGGGGAAGAGTTACCTGAGATTCTTGGTCCCTGTGTGGATGAGAGTGGGGGGTGTAGAGATGAGCAAACTGACCATAGGACTGTTACACAGGGAGCCATTCCGGGAATTGGTTGGGGGGGGAGTGGTGGGGGCAGGGGCGGAGTGAAAGAGAAATATAGTTGTAATTAGAGTTAATGTAGTCAGGGGAATAGATTCTGTTTGCTGTGGCTAGGATTGAAAGTCCCAAAGGCTGTGTTGCTTGCCTGGTGCCCGGGTTCAAGATATCTCAACAGGGCTACAGAGGATCCTGGTGTGGGAGGGAAATGTAGTGGGTACCATGAAACAGGTATAAGAGGAAAGAGATTCTGTGAGGGAATGTGAGCAGCTAGAGGCTAAATTATAAAATAGAATGAAAAAGGTAATAATCTCTGAATTACAACCGGAACCAAAAGCAAATTGGCACAGGGTCAATAAGATTAAAGAGGTAATGACTGGCTCAGAGATTGGTGTGGGAGAAATGGATTTGAAAACACAGGAGATTGGCACCAGTACTGTGGAAAGAGGGAGCTGTTCCGCTGGGAAAGGTTCCACCTAAATCATCCCAGGCCCAGAGTCCTGACAAATTGCATAACCAGGGCTGGGGATAGGGCTTTAAACTAAATAGTGAGGGGTGAGTTCAGTTCCATGGAAAATTATGGAAAACATTAAAAAGTGTAAGGGGGTGGGAGGGCTGAGCAGGGGTTATTAAAGTTTGAAGAACAAGTAATAGGACAGAAAGTATGGAAAGGATCAGGAATCTAACTTCAGATAAGGGGACTACTATGGGGGGGGTGCAGTCAACGCAGGACTGAGGGTGTTGTACTGAACTGTACGCAGTGTACAAAACATGGGAAATGAGTTTAGAGCGCAAATTGAAATTGGCAGGTACAATGTTATGGGTATCACAAAGATGTGGCTGCAAGGGGGATCAGGGCTTGGAACTAAATATCCAAGGATACACTTCCTATTGAAAGGTCAGGCAGAGGGGGCAGGGTTGCCTTGTTAGTAAGCAATGAAGTCAAATCGATAGTAAGAAATGATGTAGATTCAGAAGGTGCAGAAACTGTGTGGGTAGGGTTGAGGAACCGCAAAACAAAAAAGACCTTGATGGAAGCTGTGTTCAGGCCTCCAAGTAGTAGTCGAGAAGTGAGGAATAAAATAAATCAGGCATGTAAGAAGGCACTATTACAATAATCATGGGGGACTTCAATATGTAGATGGAGTGGGAAAATCAGGTTGGTAGCAGATATCCAGTAATGAAGAGGAAGATACCAAAGAAATGCGGAAAAATGAGGTTATGCACTTTGCTATGAAGAATAAAGCTGCAGACTATTTTCTAACTTGGGAAAGGCTTTGGAAATCTAAAGCACAAAAGACTGAGACAGTCCTAGTTCGGAATTTTCATAGGATTAACATGCAGATTCATTTGGTCGTTAGGAAGGCAAATACAATGTTAGCATTCATTTCAATAGGGCTGGAATAGGAGCAGGAGTATATAATAATGTGGAGATGCCGGTGTTGGACTTGGGTGGACAAAGTCAGAAGTCACATGACACCAGGATATAGTCCAACAGGTGTATTTAAAACCACAAGCTTTCGGAGCACTGCTCCTTTGTCAGGTGAAGCAAGCAATGCTCCAAAAGCTTGTGATTTTAAATAAACCTGTTGGACTATAGCCTGGTGTCGTGAGGCTATTTATGGCTTTGGTCAAACTGTACTGGTTTTTCCTTCATTTATTCATTTGTGGGATGTGGGCGTCGCTGGCTGAGCCAGCATTTCTTGCCCGTCCGTGGTTGCCCTTGGGAAGGTGGTGGTGAGCTGCCTTCTTGAACCGCTGCAGTCCACCTGATGTGGGTTGACACATAATGCTATTAGGGAGGGAATTCCAGGATTTGTACCCAGTGACAGTGAAGGAACGGCGATGTATTTCAGGATGGTGAGTAGCTTGGAGGGGAACTTGAATGTGGTAGTGTT